CAATTTTCCAAGGCTGTGAAGTATTGAAGTATTGAAGGGAAAATACAGTGCAATGAAAGAAAGATTTATGTGTACTTCACACCGCTAGCTGTTTTCAGAGATTTTACAAATTTGTTAAAATTCTTTGGTTTAGTATACCTGCTTGGGTTTTGAGCTCGCAGCTGCTGTGTGGAGGAACGCTAGATGAATAACAAAAGTGGATGCCGGTGAATCACAGGAACATAATTTACCATGTGATGAATTAAGACTTCCACGTAATAAAATAAGATGCTCCATTACTACAATATGAAGTTTTAACGGCTCGTGTTGTGCATATAGGTGTGTTTTAACAAGGTCACACATTAAAACAATGAAATTATTGTTTATGGGCTAACAACAAGTATTTTATAAGCAATTTAAATAACAAAGAAGCCCAGCAAAGTCTGGGAAGGTGGAGAAGATGCTGAGGAAACAAGTGTTGAATGTTTGATTAGAAAAAGCAATTGTCTGAAGGAGACATTTCAGTTAGGGATGCCTTTCTCCAGAAGACATATGCTACTGGGAGGAAAATTTCACGCAGATTGTTCAGGATCTGGCAGTTTTATGTTAAATGGTGTATTTGTTCTTAGAAGGTTTTAGTAATGTTTTTCCAGAAAACCGCTTTCTGAAGGACAAATGTGGTATCTGTGGACTTGTTTCTGCTGCTTTTGCATAATCTGCAATTTCATATTCACAATATGTATATTAGTCTTTGAAAAAAAATTAATGAAGTGACCAAATAATTTTGACATATCTTTTAATCAAAAGCAATGTGTGTTGCTTCTGAACATCCATCTCTTTTGGCTTTAAAATTCATTTCTATTGCTAGGATAGCAAATTAATTGTGTTCTGTCTCTGTAGAGTTTAGTGATATAAATTATGTTGTAGAGAAAGAAGGTCAAATGTATCTTTGAAAGCAGGAAAGAGAATGGATGTTATATCAGAATAAATTTGGCCTCGGTGTTGAATGTGACTTCTTTGAAAACATTTTTGTTGTCCCAGTTATGCAAGCGTTGTATAAGGACGAAGAAAAATCTTCCCCTTAAAAAAAAATCTTCATTCAAAATATAAAGACATCTCGATTATTAATTGTTAGACTCAGAAAGAGCCTTAGGCAACTCATACCACTTCTAGGCACCTGATTGTACCATCAAAATTGTATTTTTTTTTTTTTAATGCGAAATGGAATGCTTCGAGTGAGGGGGGAGAATTGCCAACATCTCAGCTCACGGTCTTATGTAACACAGACTTTGGGCAAGTAGGAGGTAGAGATATACGCCCACTCAGTTAGAGAAGGGAGTTGAAACTTGGGTCCTCAGATTTCTGGATGTGCCTCCCAAATCAAGCTTGTTAAGGGAGTGTAAGCAGACCAAAGTTATCCATGAGATATGTCCTGAGCTGCCCGTCACTGCGAAGGCTGAGGTGCCTCTGAGCATAACACGTGCCTTGGGAACTTTGTGCACCACTGATTAGGACAGCAACTTAGAGACAGCATTCTTGACTTAATCACCTTCATTTGTTAAAATCCTATTTAGGGTAAGTCTGAGCCTTTACAGCTTGAAGTGTATAAACTCTTGCAACGTATACATCAGCTTACTGGAATTCTCTTTATTGGAATTAAATAGCATTAAACCAACATCTTTTTCATCTTCTCAGGATTTGGAGTAGTTTAACTTCTTTTTTTTTGGCAATAAAAAAGCTAGAATATTCTATTATTCATGTTGTGCCTCCATAATGTGCTTCAAGGATGCTTTGATTGATGAAGACCGCTTTCTGGATGTTTTTTTCCCTCTCGGTTTTTATAACCGAAGCTGTCAATCCTCTCCTAAGACCTAGTAAATAATGAGATCGATCACTGTGTAATCGGCAGAAAAGCAAGGACAGTGACTGAGCCAGCCCTGGACTGCGGGTGAACAAACAGGGGAGAGATATTTCAGATAATTAAAGCAAAACCCTGGGCCTGCTCAGACAGACTGAAGGACTGCACGAGAGATGTTTCCAAAGGCTAATGTTAGGCTCGAGAGGCCAGTCCTCTCATATCATCAAGAAAAAGGAAGAGAAGCCCATCCAAACGGAGCGGGTGAAGTAGGCTTTACCCTCATTTGCTTTACCTCTTTCTGTTCGCCATGCAGGGAACCTTCTAGTAGCCCAGCACAGTGACATGAACTGCCTCCCTGCTCCCACCACCATCTGAGCCAGCTACTATGAGATGGAGGAAGGCAGTGATGAGGAATGCTTCCTCAAAAAATGCTTGGATACACCTGTACCACAGAGCAGATGCTCCTCCTTCCTTTCTGTCCTGCACCTCTCATGGTCATGAGTTTACTGCAGTTCTGGAGATGGAGAAAGGATCGATTTGTAATTGGGGCTTTAAGTCAATTTTAGCTAAAGTAATCAAAAATTATAAGAAGTATTGATCGTTGGGGATTTAGTTTGGAGAGGGAAGTGGCATCACATCTTTCTCTGCCACAGGTGAAACATGTCAACTGAAATAAGGCAGGCATTTCTGGTGTCCACACTTGAAGAAAGGTGTTGAAAAACTAAAAAGGCTTCACAAACACATTTCAAGAATCACTGGGGTCCATAAAACTTGATGTTATGGTGAGAGACACCCAAGAGAAGATTCAGAGAGACACCGAGAGAAGATTCAATGCAAAAAAAGGGTCGAGGGATCATTTGATAGCAAGTACTGTTGTTCCTGGTGGTAGATGGCTTTTAGGCTAGCAGTAGAAAGGTGCAATGAACCTTAGTGGTTAGAAGTTGCAGCTAGTTCAAAGCAAGAAAGCGCACGTTTTTAACAGTGAAATGAAGTACTTTTACCCAGATGAACTAAGCTGGGGGATAAGATGGGTGAGTTTTAGGTCATGAGTGCCCCCCGCTGTCTGCTCTGCCCCACTGCTGCAGGTGACTGCTTTTAGGAGAGCTTACAGAAGGAGGTGAGGGGCTGAATCTTGGGTACTTGGAGGTAAGTCTGTTATTTTTAGTCAAACTCATCTTCACTGGTAACTGAAACTGCTGTTCTGGGGAAGGGGAATTGTGTCAGGCTAAATTACTGCAGCAGTGTTTGCCAGCACTGGTGGGTTGTGTCCTCATCACACCGCGAGAACAATGTGAGAGGCCTGGTTGACTGTGACTATGTGCCACTGGGTGAAGGAAGTGCAACGAAGCAGGCTGGAGTAGTTCTCAAAAGTGGGATGCTGAAATTAGCTAACCTCATGGTTTGAACTGGATCCTAGTTCCAAGGTCATTTCCAGTCTGGACCAGCCTCTCTTTGTGTCAAGGATAGCTGGGTACCTGTGCCAGGGAGGTGATTAGGTACTGATCACTTGAACATAGCATATAACTAAGTGTGTGCTAGGATACGTCATGAGTGATGTATGAGCCTTAACTTGAGCCAGCAATGCACCCTTGCGGCAAAGGCAGCCAATGGCTCCTGGGGCTGCAGGAGGGGGAGCGCTGCCAGCAGGTGAGGGCAAGGTGCCCTCCTCCTCTGCTCAGCGCTGGTGGGGCACACTGGGAGTGCTGGGACCAGTTCTGGGCTCCCCAGGACACGAGAGGTGTGGACATACTGGTGTGGGTCCAGTGAAGGGCTGTGAAGGTGAGGAAGGGGTTGAGGCATTTGACGAACGAGGAGAGGCTGAACAAGCTGGGACTGTTCAGTCTGGAGATGAGAAGGCTCAGCGGGGTCTCATCAATGCCTATAAACACCTGATGTGGGGAGTAAAGGAAAAGGAACCAAACTCTTCTCAGTGGTACCCAGAGACAGGATGAAAAGCAATGGGCACACTTTGAAATACAGGAAATGCCATTTAAATGTAAGAAAACGCTTTTTACTGTGCAGGTGATCAAAGACAAGAAGTTTGCCTAAGGAGGTTTTGTAGTCTTCATCCTCAGAGATACTCAAAACCTGGCTGGACTCTAACTGGAACAAACTTCTCTGGCTGAGCCTGCTTGAGCAGGAGCTGGTGGACTAGATGATCTCCAGATGTCCCTGCAACCCCAGCCGCTCTGTGATTCTGCGATACCAGAATGAATATTACGTGCAAGGAGTGCTGGGGCTGATGACACTGGTCCTAATAAGATACTTTATCATCTGAATTCTCGTGTATGCAAAGTTTTGATGGGGACTTTTCACTGTGGCATCAGCACCCAACTGCTGTTGATTAACCCCTTGGGATTTCTTCTGATGGGGTTCATTCTCCATGCCCTATTGCATTTTAGGACTCAACCCCAGATCTAGGAATTTGATGATGCTTTTTGTTCTATGGTGCATGAGCTTGCATTTGGGTTCACATCTTCATTAACAAAACTGGACTTTATTTTTTAATCTCAACAAATGATCAGTCAGTCTGTATCATAGAACTGTTGCCTTTGTTGTTTTCCACAATTTGTGTGTCATATTGCAAATTTTTCGTGCAGTAATGCTATGTTTTCATCCAAGGGCATTGATAAACGTATAGAAAAAAATCATGCCAGAACAGATCCCCCTTTAAGGTCACAAAATATGCAGTCCCTTGGAATGAAAACGATTCAGCTGTAGTATATTTGTATGACCTGGTTGTTAACCAGTTTTAAAAACGCAGAGCAGTATCCCGGCGGTGCTCTAGGTGGGGCTTCAGCACCGGCAGAGGCAGCGAGCGGGGCTGCCCACCTCTCTGAAGAGCAACACCAGCCCTTAAAGGCGGTGGAGGGAGTTGAAAAAAGCTTTGTCCCGTCTTTAAACTCCTCCTGGTTCCTTTGATCTAATTGCCTTTTTACACTGGGACGCTTGCCGGGCTGCTTGCTTTTCCTCATGCTTAACGAGAAAACCTTTTTTGTCTAGTCCTGTTTATCTCCCCTTAAAATTCATGTGCGGGTGGCAACCAGTGTTTGTGGAGGAGGTTTGCACGGCAGTGCAAGGGTGTAGTCTTGTAGGCAGAAGATGCATCCACAAGTCCTCTGAACTATTTTGAACAACTCAACCTCCCCATCTTACTGCGCTGATGGGGAACGGCATCGTCTTGGTCCGGCACCCTGGTCTCTGCAAGCAGAAGCTGCTGGCCCAGTGTGCAATTCGGGGTCTGAGCTGGAGGCTCATGGACCGAATGATGCTGTGAGCCTCTCGGTGGCACGGCTGCCAGTTGCTGTGCTCTGCCCACTTCCACACCTTTAACTCTCTTGGCCTCCACGGGACACTTAAAGATGCAGACTTGATAAGGTGGGTGACAACCACCGGACTCAAAAGTTTGTGATCAACAGTAAAAAGTCCAGCTGGCTGCTGGTGACTGGAGGCAGCCCTCAGGGATGGGTACTGGAGCCAGTATTGTTTAATGTCTTTATTATTGATCTGGACAGGGGATGCAGTTTGGGCTTTGAGTATATTCTCCCACTCCTGGGGTTTGGCTGCTGGGCTTGGGGCTAGCTCCATGCCTCTGCAGCCAACCTCTGGGGCTCGGGGTGTGTGTGTGTGTGTCTCAAATGTGCTGTGGAGCGGTTGCAGCCGGGTTCAGCCCTTCCTATCGGGAGCTGCTTTCAGCTCTGTGTCTTGCACCAAGGGCACTGCCCTGCGTACAGGACCTATCAGCTTACCCACAGGCAGCCCTGTGGCTGTGGACCAGCCTGGTGACCACAGGGTCTGGGCTGACCCCATCACTGCCCCAACCCAGCCCTGCTGGCTTTGCAGTTGCTGTGAGGCTGGCCCCAGGCAGTGAGACCCCACGGGCCCCTCTGTCACCCTTAGAGGTGGAGTAACCCCATGCAGCAGTGCACTCTGGGCAAGTATGAACCAGGAAGCAGCTCTCCAGAAAAAAAACTGGGATCCTGGTGGACAACAGGTTGAACATGAGTCAGCAATGCACCCTCGGATCCCCAGTACAGTAAAAACATGAAAACCTGGAGTGAGTCCTGTAGAGGAGCACCAAGCTAGCGAGGGGCTGGAGCACAGGATGTTCAAGGAAAAGCTGAGGCTGCTGGGTTTGCTCAGCCAGGGGAAGAGATGCTTTGGGGAGAACTTACTGCTGTCTGCAGTTAGTTACCTGCTGGGAGGGTGCGAAGAAAATTGATTCAGACTCTTCCTGAAGGTGCCCAGTGGAATGATGAGAGGCAGCTGAACACACATTGCAACGTGGGGAATACTGACTAGAAATTAGGAAAAAATTGTTCACCATGAGGGTGGTCAAGCAGTGGAGCAGGCTGCCCAGAGAGGTTGTGGAGTCTCTGTCTTTGGAGATACTCAGAACTTGGCTGGACACAGCCCTGAGCAACTCAATCTGGTTGCTCCTACTTTGAGCAGATTGTCTGACTGATGACCTCCAGAAGTCCCTCCTGAACTGTCTGTGGATGTGTGATTCTGAAACTGTGTAGCTGTATCCAAACCAGCAGTGCTCCCTGGCCTGTGCTGCCTCCCAAACCGTGCAGGGGTCTCGCTGGGGAGAGTGCTAACTGACTAGAGGGAAAGCCATGGCCCTGGCCACAGTCACTATTTAACAGTGAAGGAGACTGAGTTCCAGTGTCTGGTATGGTTTAAGTAAACAAACATAGTTTCCAGAAAGAGAAACATAAATAGAAATATGGAAAATAAAAGCACTGCTTTATTTTCATGCAGATACTGTTAGCTTGTTCATTCCGATCATTTCATTTGTAGCAATAGTTGCAAACGTGAAATCCTGATCCTCCCCAGGCTGCACACTGGGCGGGTACCACTGAAGGCTTGTGCGCACCATTACAACTATATGCAAATATCTTTTAATTAGCAATAATATTTCATTTACAGTTTTCTAGATTGAAAACTCTTTCTGAAAGTGAAAACTTAAATTTCAGAACTGAACTAAAGAGTTCTTAGGTTTGACCGATTTTCTGTAATAATACATATATTTAATTATCAATTCCTTAATCCTTGTTAAGATCCATTCAGATCAAGATTTATAAAACGTGATGACTTTTAAGATTGACCTATTGTTTTGCATACAGAAGACAGTATTTACTAGATACGTATTTTTAAGCAGGTTTTCTGGAAAACCAGGAAACAGGGAATCTTTCCTGCACCTTCCAAGCTCACGGTGTCATTCCTAGAGGGGGAATATAATCCAAAGCAACTGAAAATGCCCTGCCATCAGCCTTTCTCTGTTTAATCTATTAGCCACTCAGCTGCCTAATGTATTATCTGACACACAGTGATAAGCAGCTTAGCTGTCCAAGATCATATTAAATATGTTCAGTTTAGCCTAATTCTGCAGTGCTCCATGAGGAGACACCCTGATGTCCATGTGGAGCCCTTCTGGAATCCCTGCAGCCCTGTATAGGGATGGGGATGCTCCCGCATGGCTCGTGGCCTTGGAGGAGAATACACTTTCCAATTGTCTGGTCCTTCCTTCTTATCTAAAACCCTTTCTTCAGCTCCTCTTCGTGCTCTTAAGAAATGAAATATTCAAGTGAGCCCATGCCCTAGAAAACAAAAATATCCCTCTAGCAGATCATCCCAGAAGTTTATAGGTTAGGCTAGAACAGCCTTGATCTCTTGTTTAATGAGTTCTGCTGGAAAAACACATTTTAAAAAGAACTCCTACCCTTCCCACCCTGCATTTTCCGTACCTTAAAAAAACATCTTTTTAGTATTTTGTTAATAGTCCATTGGAAGACTGACAATTGCATCTACTTCCTATATCCTCTCTTTAATTACTCGTGAAATTCACGTCACCTTGCAAAAAGCCCTGAATAATCGGGTTTCTCTTGGGTCTGCCAAAAGCCCTGGCACTAGCGCACAGGTGAGGCAGCAGACTTTGCCTCTTCTTGACACCTCTCTGAGGTCGAAGGAATAAAGACTCTGTAATGACAGATCCTCTCAGCCCCCTCTCCACCGTGGCTCCAACTGTTCCTGGCACGGATGCATGGACTCCTTTTGCTGTTTGGGGAGCTCCATCTGCAGCTTGGTAATCACAAGCTGAATTTTAACCAATAGATATAAATAGATTTTTTTAAACTGAGGAGAAAGCAAGCAGTTAAGGCAACTGTAGAACTCAAAAATAGTATTAACTGATATTAACATTGGCTAAACATAATAAATACAGCACTGGCTAAAACGCAGGTCTACCAGTATTGGTGGGTGCCCCTGAAGTAAGAACTGGTGAATAGTGCTTGTGGTAGGAAAAGGACAACAAGCACAAGTTTCTGCTTTTCTTTTTACCTGACTTTTCTATTCTTTCTTTGCATATTTTAAAACACAATCACAGCCCTCAGATCATCAGCTTTAAAAAAAAAATCTGCTCAGGCTTCTTCTCCTTATAAATTCTAAAATGTCTCTTTTAAGGGGATTGCTTGTACTCCTTTTGGTGGGAAATTACATTTGACATTGGAGTTAAAGGTCATATGACCCCAAACAAGATGGGTGCCAGTGCCGAGAAAACTGAACAGACTGGTACAATTTCCACAGGATTTAAAGTTAACCTCATTGCATGATTGGCTTACATTTCTAATCCGATATATCAGGCTAAAAATAGACTTTGAAGACAATTTAATTCCATGCAAATAATCACTGCAGGCTAAAAATTAGTAAAAATGTAAATTAAGAAAGAAAAATGTTAAATTAAATTATAGACAAACTGTCGTCTTGCTAGACTATTGACCTGAAACTGCACATATACAAGACACCTGCAAGGGAGAGAAGGCAAAAGGAAATAAATAAATAGAGAAATTAGTATGCTTGAATATATATTTATAGAGGCAGAGTTTCTGATGCTGTCAGCAATTTCTGTCAAAGATCTACCTTCAGAGGCATCGCTGTTGACTTTCAAACATTTCATGTTTTATTACTGCATTTTAATCATTAACTATGAATGGCGTCCCTGGATGATCTGCAGGAGTGATGAATCATTCATTATAACTAAACCAAACTCTTCCTTTTTTTTTTTCCCCATTAAAATAAACAAATACAAAATAGTTTCCAAAAAATAGGACAGCAAAACTTTTAGAAAAGAACCAATGTTTTAGGAAAAGCTACAAATCAATACTACAGAAAACTCCATGGTCAGAGAAGGAACCAGAGAGTGGGGAGCTGAGATTAAGACCGTGTGCAGGTTTTTTTGTTTTCTCCTCTAGTGTCCTAAATTCCTGAAGAAAATAAATATCATAAAATGTATTACGTAGGCAGGTACAAATCCAATTTAGTAAGTCCATAATAATATTTTGTAGATAAGATAGCTGCTTCTGTGCGAGAACCAGCTCTGTGGCACTAACGCCATTTGGGAACAGTCTTTCATTTCCCATATTAGTGCAAGACGTGAAATTTCTGTATGACAGACAACAAAGATCTGCTTCACTGACAAAGGTTCTTATCTCTGTTGGACTTCAGTGAGCTCCAAGCATAGGAGAAATATTATAACCCAGTTCACTTGGTTTTATTTATTTGTTAGTGTAACTTGTACCAAGAAGTATAAATAGCCCTTAGTTCCCGGGGAAGCTCACGGTGCTGTTTTTGATCAGGCTCACAAGAAATTTGCTCTGAATCCCTAAGGGGTTTATTCTTAATACAAGAATTCCAGCCGATGAAGAAACTACATCTTCAACTGTGATCTACATTAAATCCAAGTCCCATAAGAATCAGTCCCATTCGGTTCAACATCTAGAATTGGCATCTAGAACATCCTGGAAGTGATAGCAACATGGAGACAGCGTGAAGATACTGCAGGCAAAGCTGAATCATGGCAAGATGGAGATGTCCATAGGTATGAAACCGCAACTAACAAATATCTACTGCTTGTCATGCCTAATGGCTGCATCCCAGTGAGTGACAAAACGGAAAGGTCCCGTAAGAAATACTGAAAGAGGGAGTGTTAGAAATTGCCTTAAAGAAGATGTACCTGCTACACATCATGTTGGCTGCACAACTCAGAATCAGCCCAGGCTTCTTGGCCTGTAGGCCAGTATCTGACCACTGGGTCATGCTATGGAAGGTTTGTAAGGCCCTCACCAGTCATATCCCACAGAGAAATCTGCTGTTTGAGTTCACACTGACTCACAGTTGTTATCCCACAGCCTGGACCTGCAACCCAGTTTGCTGAGTACCATTCATTCACAGATAGTCC